CTCTCTGTATCAATACACCCCTCCCCTCCCCACCCCCCACGTCCACCAGCCAGCCATACCCCCAGTCCCCGAGTATCGCTCCGGGAAAGGCCCGCCATTCACCACGAATCTCGCGCCCGCTTCCGCTAACAAACAACCGCACTTACGCAATCGATACCGGGAGGTCCCCGGGTAAAAAGGCACAGGGCCGGTATCGCGCAGACAATAAAACTATCGGCGCCAATAGGAGCAGGAGCGAGATAGTGTTGCAGATCAGAACAGCGATCTCTGGACGCTTGAACTGCTCTCTGCATTTGTTTGTTTGGTTTTTCCTTGTTTTTTTGTTGGGGTTTTTTTTCCATTTTTTTTTTGGAGAGCGGGGTGGTCCGGGGAGGGGGGAAAGTGTGCATGTGATGTGTGTGTGGTTTTTTTTTTCTGTCTTCTTCTCTTTTATTTTTGTAGGCCCTATTGGAAGATTGTTGAGTGCAGAAGACTTTATGAAGAGAGGGATTGGAAGTCGGGGGGTGTGGGGTGTGGTGGAGAATGTTGTCGCTATGATGTACATGATGTGCTTGTTCTAGCTGGTGTTGGGGCTGTCGCGTGCTCGATAGGGGCTTTATTTATGGGGGTTGGGGTGACCGCGGGGGGGGTGACTGTGGAAGCCCGTAACTTTAAAAGAAAATTTGAGATAGATAGATAGTGAGAGATATGGATAGATAGATAGCGAGAGAGATGGATAGATAGCGAGAGAGATAGATAGATGGATGAATGAATCTATCTATATATCTATCTGTCTGTTATGGGTCTGACTGTCTGTCTAGATAGATGGATGGGTAGATAAACAGACATAACAGCAGCAACGACAGTAGCGACAACAACAACATCAACAACACTAGCATAGCACTGGACGGAAAGGAATACGCTCACAGTGAACTCGATTAACAGTCACAACTCGTATTGATCAGGGAGTTTTCGTGGCTGTGAGTTTAAAAAATGTATAATTTTTTAAAACAATTTATTTATTTCATTTTGTACCTTTTCAACACCCCGGGGCAGTGCCACTGACTGAAGTGTCTTTAGGCCATTCCCAAAAGGGGATATTTTTCGTTCAAGCACAGTAGAATTGTAGATGGGCTTACTCATGTCACGCTCATAACTGCCTG